TGTTACAGTATTTTGTAGTTGGCCAATGCTTTGGTGCGACACCCATTCGGTCGCGTGTCAAGATTGGGCAATCAGGCCTCGCTGTTGTATGCCCCTAGCAAATTTATTTACAAATTTGTCTATGCGACAAATGAGTAAATAATACAAATAAATAATCTTGCCTTCGGCAGTAATCCATTAACCTGTTCGTGTCGAAAAGGATTTCTTGATTATTGAGTTGGTTACTCTTAGCTGCGACTTTCTTAAATATCGATTTGTGTAATCGTTTAATCGAATTCGTATTGAACCTTGTGGTTTCATATTGTTTTAATATCATTTCTATGCATCGCTTGTTTCTATACTTATAATTACAAAATTTCCTTTAGGCCGATCGGATAGTTATAACCACGATTAATATACCATCAGATATTATGGTTAGCCATGGTTACAGGTTTATGGCTTAGGTCTCGCCAATATGTATGGCAACCAATTGGGCATCCAATTTTTATTTTTTCGGGACAAACAGTTTTAGGATTCACCAAACTAACATTTGCCACGTCCCGTGACAATAAACTTCAGCAAAGTATATTTTAGGTTTTTATATTCCACTAAAATTTGTTAAATCATCTATTGGTAACATTAAAATGCTAAAAGGATATTATTTTATTACATAAAATTTCTTTCTGAATAACAAGGCGACGAATTTCCCGTTTGCACCGGTATCTATGGTGGCCTATTTTTATGGTGTCTATCTTTACACTTGTCTTCATTTCCTTAATTTGGCGGAAAAAGGCTTTACCTATAGCATTCTAAAGAAAAAACTTCGATAGTCGAATTATTCTACATTTGCTTTAATGTTATCAACATAAATAAGTAAGAGATTCTAGTCGGGAATTCCAGACTAGGGAATACCCTAAACCCTCTTGTACCAACACAAAATGCAGTTCGTTTTAAATAATAAAAAGAAATAAGAACCATTATACCCTTTTTATCCGTTTTTAATGGGTTCGGGGTATAAAAATAGTTTCGCTGGTAGGGCTCGAACTCGCGACAGATCGCACCATTGGCCACTGCTTCTACTCAGCAGCCACACTAATAATTAAGTCTTATTGAGAAGAAAAGCAAATTTAAATGGCAGCACAAAAATCAATCGCAATTGTAATGTTGACAGAATGCGAAGAAGACGCGCATGATCATAATTAAATTTTCTACAGTATATCTTATTATACTATAGAATATTTGTGTATTCGCAAAAATTAAATTGCATTTAAATTGTGGCTTAAATTAGTGGACAATACAAGTTGGCTTATTAACTTGATCTGATAGGTATAAAATGAAAGATGCTTGATATTTTGTTACTGTAGCTCTTATTATTTATTCAATTTGTTAAAAAAAAGGATATCGATATTGATTGTTTGTGAATGGGCAAGTTATCTATTATCGGAAACACACTCGATCTGCGCAGGCACTAGGAGGAGCAACACCTAAAATTTCATGTCTCTAATTCATATAGGTTCTGATATCCTTGCTATCATACATATGGACAGACAGAGGCGGACATGGCTAGATCCTCGGCTATTGATGCTGATCAAGAATATATATTCTTTATGAAGTCGGAGATGCTTTCTTCTGCCTGTTACATACATTTACATTTTGCACAAATACAATATACCCTTTTTAGCCATTTTTAATGGATTCAGGGTATAAAAATTATAAAATATTTATAAGAATGCTCAGTATTACTGCCAAATGCACACTGATCTCTTTTTTCACTAATACTTATGTCTTGTAAAAATCAAATCCTGCCACAAAAAAGTGTAATAACGGAAGTAACGAAAGAGAAAGGCACTCTTCGGCACGCCGAAGATCTAATACCCTTGCAGACCCAACCTTTTTATAATACTCATAATGCTTTACCCGTATCTAAGAAGCACAGGGAAAATAGTTAGTGCCGAGTTTGCTAAAGATGTCTTGATAAATAAAAGAGGGTTTTTAACCAAAAACCTAGTTTACGACCCATCGTTCCTATGGCAGATATATGAAATAATAGTAAATAAGATTTTAAAAAATTGAAGGGAGCATAGTGAAATCTTTAAATGCCGTGTTTAACCAAAATATCTTGAATGACAAAAAAGTTTTCCACACAACAGCTTGATTTTCCACCGACCGTTCCTATGTTGAGTTTGGTCAAGATATCTTGAAAAAAACAATGTTTTTTCATACAACAACTTAATTTTCGAACGATCGTTCGTATGGCAGCTATATGCTATAGTGATCCGATCTTAACAGGATCTTGCATATATATGAGAAGTATAGTAAAACTGATAAATGCCGAGGTTGGTCGATATATCTTGAAAAACAAATGTTTTTTTCAATCAACAACTTAATTTTCGACCGATCGTTCCTGTGGCAGCTATATGATATATTGGTCCGATTCAGCTAGTTTTAACATATGTGCTGTGTGCAACAGAAAGAGAAACTTCTGCAATGTTTTATCAAGATAGCTTTAAAACTGAGAGACTAGTTCGCATAAAAACACACAGACGGACATGGCTACTTCTGTTGATGCTGATCAAGAATATATATACTTTATGGGTTCTTATGGGTCTCCTTCTATGCGTTACAAATTTCACGACCAAATTATAATACCCTCTGCAAGGGTATACAAATGGGAACCAACGAAGCATTTTGCATAGGCATTCTACTAATAGACGACATTAGACTTTGGCTTATCATACTTATGAAAATATGCCATTACTATTACGAAAGTAATTGTTAAAAACATCTAAAATTGAAATTATTTACTTGTACTATTTACTGGAAAAAGTTTTAAAAATTTTGTAGAGTTATCCACTAGCACCAAACGCTATATTCTTTCTGAATTTATACTCGGTAATATGAAGTGTACGGGACGCGTGACAAGGCGTGGGTTATTGGTTAGTCAACATAGAAGAGCTGTTTTCACGCGATATCAACTCATGAACTTCACCAAGCATAGTCCAACGATTAATTAAAGAAGATTAGTCCTTAGAAGTCTTCTAGAGTATATTAGTAACCGTATACAGTATCCCAATTTAAGCCACGAACGACTAACAGCAAAAATTGTTTATGTACATATTCAAAGATAAAATAGTAAGCACCAGAAATTAAAATGTTTTTTTTTAGTGTACGGACTCTCAAACATCTGTGACCATCGCTGGATAAAACCCAAAACAATTCCGGCTTTATTGACCATAGTTTTTATGATAGTCGAGTTGTTTTTCGCCAATTTACGAGTGTTACGGGTGGAATATCCAAAATTGCTGAAACACAATTTCATTAACTTCGAATGAAAGTTATACACTTTCGCTAATCAATCCTTCACTTTATTTTCACAGAGAAACATATGGAAGGTGCCTAATACTGGACGGTATCATTCAGTGTACTTCTAGGGATGAGTTTTCCTACCAGGAAATGATAGCTTTTTTGCCGCTATGCTGTCATCCAAACCCACAGAAAGTTTTAATTGTTGGCGGTGGTGATGGAGGTGTAGCACGCGAAGTTGTAAAGCATCCGCTGGTTAAAGAAGTTCATCAAGTCGAAATTGACGATCGTGTTGTTCAACTTTCAAAAAAGTATCTACCTTCTATGGCATGTGGATTCGATAGCAAAAAGTTAAAGCTTACTATCGGCGATGGTTTTGAGTATATGAAAAATCACAGAAACGAATTTGATGTCATTATAACCGATAGCTCTGATCCAATTGGTCCTGCCGTTAACTTGTTTCATGAAAGCTACTTTGATTTACTAAAACAAGCACTAAGAGATGGAGGTGTTGTATGCTCTCAAGCAGGAAGTTTTTGGTTGGACTTTGAATACGTAAAGAAAACATTAAAAGGATGTGCCTTGCATTTTCCAAAAGTAGGATATGCCATAACTTCTGTTCCATCTTATCCATGTGGTCACATAGGATTTATAATAGCATCTTTGGATAAAAAACATAGGCTAGAAAACCCCGTGAAAAAGTTTGAGAAATCCGAAATAGATGCATTAAATTTGAAGTACTACACAAGTGAAATCCATGCTGCTGCTTTCACTTTACCTCGTTGGGTTGAGAAGCACTTTTACGAATAAAGCTGTTTAGACATTTAAAGCATTTTTGTACTCGGTAAACAAAATTTAATGATTTTATACATTGACAATAAAATATTTTAAAATAAATAAACAAGTAAAAAGTTCTACTCGGGAGCTCCCGACTAGGAAATAACCTGAACCTTCTTATTCCAACACCACCGCAATTGAAGTAATTAAGATAATTAAAAAAAAGTTCTCTTGGCAGGGTTTGAACTCGCAACATACCGCACCACATTCTAGGCCTGTATTCAACACCCACACCAATAATTATGTATAATTGAGAAAAGTACTAATTAAATAGCAGAACAGAAAACAATCGTTATTGCAATGTCGTTGATAGAATTCGAAGCAAACGCGTATGAATGTGTGAGTGTACATGTATACAGAAATTCTTAAAGCTGCTGCCCCATTCAATTGCGCGGTTACATATAACTTTGGTTTTTTTCTTAACCGAACTTTATGAAATTTTCTACAGTATATCTTATTGTACCATAGAATATTTGTGTATTCTGAAAACGTCAATTGTATTTAAATTGTGGCTTAAATTGGTTGGCAATACAAATTGGGTTATTAACTTGATTTATAGCTCTGTGGTGGTAACGGGGAGGTGGCTATAAGTATAAAATGAAAGATACTTGACATATATAAAATATTCTAGAAGCAACATATCATGTTTGGTGACTCCAGCTCTTATTATTTACCCAATTTGCTCAAAAAACAGGATGTTGATATCGATTTGTATCGATTGATTGGAAACGATTATCAGAAACAAGCTGGATCTGCGCAGGCACTAGGAAGACCCTCATCTAAAATTTTCTGTCTTTAGCTCTTATAGGTTCTGAGGTCCTTGCGTTCATACATACGGACAGACGGACATGGCTAAATTGACTCGGTTATTGATGCTGCTCAAGAATATATGTACTTTATGGGGTCGGAGATGCTGCCTTCTGTCTGTTACATACATATGCATTTTGCACAACTACAATACACCCTTATATCCATTTTTAATGGGTTCGGGGTATAAAAATAATATGTACATACATATTTATGCACTGATTAGGACTAAGCCTCAAACGTATGTAAGTATGTATGAGAATATATATATACATACATGTACATACATTAAATTACATATCTTCCGCAAGCTTAAATAAAAATATTGATTTTTGAATAAGGAAATAATGTTTGGCGTAAATTGACATTTTTTAAATTAATATGAGAGTGCATACATTCGTATGTATGTTTAGTGACACATGGACAATACACATAAACAAATACTAACTATAAACAGCTCGTGCTACGCGCTCTCTTTGGTTAGGCTAAGCCGAAAAAAAATGAAATTTCTTGACCTTTTCTAATGGTACAACTATCATTACAAAAAGTTATAATTGTATAAAAAATATCATACCTGGAATAAAATTTTTCACCATTGATCAACGAAACGGCTGACATTCCAAGAGTTGGCATCTAATGAAAAAACGGTACTTAAACAGCAGCACATTCATATATGTAAAGAGGACAGCATACGATCAATAACCATAGAACATGGTTATTGATACGATACATTCGCAATTGTAATTATTTGTGTGTGTATGTATTGTTGTGCTAAAGAGTATGCGAATATTTTAAAAATAAAACAAACAAGAGGTTTGTTTAAAATAAGTCTTCACCTTAACCTCTAGCAATCTGTGTGCTTCAAGTTAACAAACTGCACGTGTTGGAGCGGGCACTCAACGCTGTTGTAACAGACAAAGAATACGACGTGCAAACATCCAAATTCGGAGTCATGCGTATCTACACTGCTAATGCTCAAGCGTTTCGATCAGTTGTTAGAGCGCTAATCCAACTAGACTGTGAGTTTTAGCAGCACCAACTGCGGGATGACAAACCTTATAGACTGGTTCGTAGGGATATCATGCCAATGTCCCAAATGATCTTAAGCGCATTCTCTTTTAAAGGTTGCACAGTAACATATATTGCCCAAGAAAAATGGACTTGCGCACATCCGATCAACGAGGAGGACGATGAGCAAATAAATAACGCGAAGACTAGACAAAATATGTTCTACGTTAATATCGAACACACATCAAATGTAGCCGAAACAGTTAAAATAACCCATATAGAAATAAAAAGGTTACAGTAAAGAAAGCGGGTCGCAAAAGTGAGTTGGTTCAATTTGTTAATTGTCAATACCTTGGGCACACGCTAAATTACTAAATTACGCTAAAAATCCAGTCTATGGCAAGTGCGCAGGCGATCACCGTATCGACTCAGTATCTTGTCAGTTGAGGTTGAGTGACAACAACACATATTCTAACTGTAGTGGGGACCACATAGTTAGTTTTAAGGGCTGCCAACTTAGAATAAAACAAGAGGTTTTAGTCGGGAGCTCCCGACTAGGGAATACCCTGAACCCTCTTATTACAACATGGAAACGGAGTGAGTTATCGATTATCGGAAACAAACTCGATCTGCGCAGGCACTAGAAGGACCTACATCTAAAATTTCAGTCTCTAGCTGTCTAGTTCTGAGATCCTTGTGTTTATACATACGGACGGACAAACAGACAGACAGACGGACATGGCAAGATCGACTCGGCTATTGATGCTGATCAAGAATATATATGCTTTATGGGTCGGATATGCTTTCTTCTGCCTGTTACACACAATTGAATTTTGCACAAATACAATAAACCCTTTTTCAATTCAATGGGTTCAGGGAATAAAAAAAAAGTTTAAGCCAGTTGTGGGTTAGCCAAAAAATGGGGTTACGCGTTCTCACAAGCAAAAGAAGCATGCCAATGCGAGCCAACCGACACGCATATATCCCGGCTGCAGTCGTCCATTATTAACAAGTTTCACTCATTAAAGAAATCAATGCAGGACTTAAATTAGAGAATGGATCAAATGTTCAATCTAATACAGGAGACGATGGTAGCAAAAAATAAAGCTTTTCGTGACCTGGTTAAGCATCTCATCTCCCTAAAATCCAAATAACCAACCCGCATTTTAAAATCAGATTGTGGAACGCACGCGGCTTACTTAAGGACAATGATGAACTTAGGTTCTTAGTGCCCACACTCTAGATAAAATGCTGGTAACTGAAACACACATGCGTCTTAGACTGAAAACTGAAAACACGGCTATGAAATATACCATTCTTATCAGCCCAGTGGTAACTGCAGAGATGGAGCAGCGATCGTTGTCCGATATTCTGTTCTCCGTTGTCAGAATAAGCCCATATCGCGCATGCATGTCAAGATAGTGGTAACGTGCATACAAGCACTGGAATCGTCACAATTGCTTCCTTATATCTTCCACCTAAGGAAACACGAAACTTTGAATATATCTTAATTACTTGGGCAGCTCATTCAATGAGGGGGGAGACTGTCTTCGAGAAAATGCCATATCGAGCTGCTCATGCAAAGTCCTGGCTCCAGGCAAACAAACATTATATTCGTATAACACCCAGCTAAGTCTGCGCTCGACTTTTTCACAGTTCAATCGCTATATGAACTCTCTCTGGATCACTTGCCTCACGAAGGCAATGAAACCTCCAACCTCGATCCTCTGTTGAAGCGTTTAGACTTGGCCTCGACAGAAGATTAAATCTCAACATGTAGTTAAGCGTACCGGAGGACATTAGGGACACAATCTCCATGTTCATCGAAAATATTAGACAAGCAGAAATTTGAGTTTCGCCTAAAACGAACAAGTTCATCGAATCTATAAAGTGCTTCCCTTCTTCTTCCCGTCTTCAAAAGATTCTAGTCTCAAATTGATCGGTTTCCGAACGACGCGGCCTCATGTTGTTATTGCTTTCGTCTGGCATTCATTCAATTGGTACCGAAGCGAAATTGTTCGAGCAGGGTCAGGGTCCTGGAGAGGCGATAGTCCGACGCATTGTTTCGGCTCGTTGTATTTTCGAATACCGTGAGATTAAGCCAACATGGCAGGTGCCCACGTAAAACACTCTGTTTGCCCTCTAACCCACTGACTTTGTCGGAGGTAATGCTGCAGATCAAAAACTTTAACTTAAGCGTCGAGCGCTGCTATTCATAGATCTTTTGTTCAACCGCATTTTCCAAAGATCTGAAAGTCTGCACTGATCACGATGGTCCCTAAGCCAGAGAAGTAGCTCACGGACGAAGTCGCGTACAGACCAATCAGTCTCCTCCCTGTCCGTGCACCGATGTTGAAAAGGGTTATTCTCATAAACGTGACACAGACGAAAATGTCTCGGAATCCCGGAGCACACACAAATTGCAAACACAACACCCGGGTGTCTGCAGCTACTTCTGCCAATGCCCAAAATTCAATGACAACTTCAAAACATTTTCCATATGAACCAAAACCAGCCATAATCGAAACAAACGACCAGCAATGAAAAAAGCACACCCTCTTAGCTCATTGATATGGTTTTTAAGCAGTGCTATGCCTATAATTCGCAAGATCATTAATTTTATAAAATTTCATTATTCGACCAGCAAGGCACCCTTTCTCAAAGAAGGGTATTTTAACTATTCATAAGTAGTATAACCAAATACCTACTAATATACACATTTTTATCCAATGAAATTTCGTATTAAGTGTGCAACTATTGGTACAATTAATAATAATTATTTTCGTAAAACATTAACTACCATTTCTAAGTATAAATAATTAATGCCGCGACGCGCCAAATAGTTGTTGTATGAGTGTCTTATCTCAAACATATTGGTGCAAATCTGCGTATATCTATGTGTCAGCCAAGCCAAGAGACTTCTATGAATGTAAGAAGATTGGAAGGATTTTGATGTGCGATCATTTCGTATTTAAAATGATTACATAAGTCAATAAATGATTTACTATAAAGGACCCTATTCATAAATTATTTAAAAGTATATAATAAAGGTTTGAAATATACTACTCAAGGCAAGAAATAAAAGTCTATAAAATGTGACGTCATAAGTTGTTATGCTCCGTGTGGGTAGCCCTTTGATTTGAAACCCATGGCTTGGTGGCATACGCAAATAACACATGGGAAGATCAAAACGGACAACGAAAAAAAAATGGGTTTCGTGCGCACTGTTGTTGTGCAAGTGATTTGTTGTTGTTTCCTATGGTAAATGAGCATTATTTTGTTGGGTTTGTTTTTGCGTTTGCGGACCAACCCGATCAACCGCTCATGAACTTTAAAACTTATAACTCAATGGCTCCTTGATATATACATACAAAGGGCATCGAGAGAGACCTAGGAGTTCCCAAAGTAATCCGAAGCATGTCAAAAGATACTTTGAGCGCCTTCGCTCCCATCCCAACCCACTAGTGAGACGCATAACTTATCCAGGAATAACAAGAATAATATGCCGCATTACAGGAGTTTGTCTCTGTAGGGCCAAAAAGAGGAGACTTAAACGGTGCCAAACACTGGATCTACTTAACAGTGTCTTATGAGACATATCACTTTAATAAAATATATAATATAACAAGTAATACTTATGCAGAATATAAAAAAATAAAATTATTTGCTTTATACCCTTAACACCTTAGACTCATTAGTAATACATCCATAGAAAACTAGTTTAAGCTGCCATGTTAGGTAGAAGTGATCTTGTTAACAATAATGTATATATACGGAAACAAAAATATTATGAAATAAAATATAAATATTTCATGTAGGCCATTCAAGGTCGGCACGCCGTTAAACTAAAAAATGCCGAGTTTGGTCAAGATATTGTGAGAATTTAAATTTCGAGTGATCGTTCCTATGGCACCTATTTGGATTCCGATCTTAAAAGGATTTTGCATTTATATGAGGAGCATTGTAAAGCTAATAAATGCCGACTTAAGTCAAGTCTATCTTGATAAAAAAAATTGGTTTTCATACAAAAACTAATTTTAGACTGATCGCTTCTATGGCAGTTATATGATATAGTGTTCCGATCCTAATATGACTTTGCTCATATATGAGAAGCATTTTAAACCCAATAAATGCCGAGTTTGGTCAAGATATCGTGATAAACAAAATGTATTTTCATACAACAACTTAATTTCCGGCTGATCGTTCCTATGGCAGCTATATGGTATAGTGGTCCGAACTTAATAGGATTTTGCATTTATATGAAGAGTATATTATAAGTATTAAATGCCGAGTTTGGTCAAATATGTCAAAAGATACTAATTTTTAATAAATATTTAAATAAATATTTTAATAAACTAATTTTTTTTCATACAACTTAATTTTCGACAGATTGTTCCTGTGGCAGCTATATGATAAATTGGTCCTATTCAGCTGGTTTTGAAATATATGCTGCGTGCAACAGAAAGAGAAACATTTGCAAAGTTTCATAAAGATAGCTTTCAAACTGAGAGACTAGTTCGCATAGAAACAGACATAGAGACAGACGGACATGGGTATATCAACTCGGTTGTTGATACATATATGTATATATTTTATGAGGTCGGAGAAGAAGGAGAAGGAGACATTCTATGCGTTACACATTTCATGAAAAAATTATAATACGCTCTGCAAAGGTGTAAAAGTAGATCAGATTCTTCTCATAATGCCCGACTGGACGAGGAAATATATGCTTGAGCATTTAAATGTGTGTTCCCATTGCTACCACAGGCACAAAAGGAACATTATTAAACATATAAATCTCTGGTTCGCGACAACGCCGTGATCTACTTGTGCACACATTCACATATCACAAACATATGTGTCTGTTTGTAGATCTCAGGGTTTTGTGAGAAGCTAGTGAGAAGCAGGGAGAAAGAAATGCACTCAAGTGTGGAAAGCAATGAATGAGAGCGAGGCACTTGCATACACACATTTGTATTTGGGCTGTAGGGATTTAAAACTAATATAAATATATTTTAGCCGCAGCGACGTTGTGAGCTGAGCGAGATGCGGCTTCATACTGAACGTTCGGATTTCGAGACACGCGTTCGGCGGCCACTCTCAGCAATCTTACTCTCCCAGAATACAACAAAATGGTCGCAGGCTCTCTTGGGGTTCCATCCTTGCGATTTATCGTGCCTTGATTATTGTGCTGTTTGATATATATGTGCATTGTATGGTTAGTGGTTAAACCATTACTGTAGTGCAGTGCATACGAAGGCTCAATCTTTTGTCTT